AGCTGACCCCAGGCTCCACGTGGCACTGCCACTTTGAAATGCTGCAGTGGTGTTTCAAAGGAGCAGTGCCATACAGCTGATCCCAGGCTCTGTGCGGTGCTGCCCCTTTGAAACACTGCTGCAGCATTTCAAAGGGGCAGCACTGCACAGAGCTTGGGGTACGGTCTCCGTGCGGCGCTGCCGCTTTGAAGTACCCTCTCTTCCTCCTCCCTTTGCTTATTCTATCTGATAGAGGAAGCAAGGGGTGGGAGAACTGACTAATCGACTCAACTATCCTATAGGCATTTGCTTATTGGATAGTCGACTAGTCCTTAACATCCCTAACTTAAACCTCCCTTGCTGCAGTTTAAGCCCATTGCTTCTTGTCCTATCCTCAGAGGCCAAGGAGAACAAGTTTTTTCCTTCTTCCTTGAAACATCCTTTTAGATACCTGAAAACTGCTTTTTTTAAAGTCTTTAAAGATGTTGGTACTTCCAGCACTTGTTGTCTTTAAAGAACCATCTGGGCTCCAGGTGCTGGTTCAGACAGGGCAAAGGAAGCCAGGTGTCAATTTATCTGTACAAGGAACATGGCCTTCCAGTAGTGTGTGCTTTAGGGTTAACAGATGAACACAGGTTTCACTTGTGTACGTTATAAACTGGTCCAGGGAGCCAGAATTTTCTACTGCTGCCATTCTTAGCATCAAACACCATATACAAGCTAGGTAGTATCATCAAAGAATCATAAATAGAACTGCCTTGATCATAAACTTGAATGTTGGCAGGTAAGTGGAGCACAGATTTGGAATCCAAGCTTTTCTGCCTTCTAGTTATGGCTTTAACGCTGACTTGTTTATGTAGGCTTTGGGCAAGTCATTTGTTCCTGGGCCCTCGTATGTAAAACGGAATTCAGTGTCTTTAAAGCACTTTTAGACCCTAGACTGAAAGGTGCTTACAGGAGTACTGTTGTAACTAGGTAAAGGATATTGCCTGCTCCTGTAAGTGTACCACTTCCATCTGTCCCCAAAGGGCTCCTGTGGGCATCACCAAGATAGGCAGGTTGATCTTAAGAAGCAACTTGTTCCTTGATTTCTTTGTGTGACCCAGGAGATGAATGAGGACCACAGCACACCAAAAAAAGAGAAGCAAGAGCGATTATCCAAACACAAAGGGAATCTGCAGCACACACAGGCCGAAGAGGAAGCCCATCTTCTCAGCCAGCAGAGGCTCTACTACAACAAAAACTGCTGCTTCTTCAGGCGAAAAACCATGATTAAGAGGCACGAGATGGAGCAGCAGAACATTCGGGAGGTATGTCACACTTGGTGCTCACTCGCTGGACTCTTTGATTAAGTTGGTTCTTGGTTGCAGTGGTTCTTCTTCGAGATGTGTCCCCCAGTGGGTGCTCCACTGTGGGTGCTGGTGCATCCTTGCACTGGCGATCGGAGATTTTTCTAGCAGTGCCCTGCCGCATCACACGTGCGCTGTAGCGCCTCCTCGTGCTGTTGGTGTCCATTAGATGCGTGCGCAGTGTGGCCCCGCAGTTCCTTCTCTACTGTCCTCGGCAGCAGATGGAGCTCCTCTCAACTCACCCTTTCCTCATCTGAAATGACAAAAAAATTGATAAATCTCCTCAGTTCTTCTTCACTTCCAAGTTATTGAACCCTTCCCATCTTGTTCCTCATTAAAAAAAAAAAAAAAGAAGAAGAAGCCACCAACCCAGTTCTTCATTGGTTTTTTGGTCGAAATGCTTGGTTCCCCAGGCTTTAAGTGCTGTGACTTGTGTAGAGTGGCCATGTCCACTTTGGATGGCCATTCGTCCTGCATAAAGTGCCTTGGTGAGGCACACACGACGCAAACATGCTCACACTGCTCCAATCTGACTGCGAGAGCTCACCGAGACCGCACTAATAGACTGAAGACTTATCTTTATGAGAAGTCTTTCTAGTCATACAGTCAGTGTTGGGGTTCATCCCGATGGGTTCCTGACAGGTCCTCTACTCCGTTGATGATGATAAACTTTCAGCTGTGTACGTGCCTGTGGTTGCTCCCCTGTCTAAGCGCGTTAACCATGTGCAATTAGTTAACACGACAGACTCCCAGAGAGTCCCCAGAGAGCCCCCAAAGACCACAGATCAGATAAGGATCGAAATTATCTAAGCAGGTTTATTGCCAAACAACATACACTAATAGTTGTCAGCGAACAGACTCGCCACTGCACCACTACACCTCATGTAAGCCATGGCAATGGACTAACACCCATTAAGTGCCATAGCACCCCCTCCCCCGATGTACAAACATCTGACGTATCAGGTTGCCACCCTCTGTTACCTGGTTACCACCCTTTACCTCGCAGAAGGGGGACTTACTTACTATTCTTCATGCTGTCAACTTACTATCATACTGTCAACTTTGACCCGGTCCTGAACCTAGGTCGGTATGTACATTATTTATGGGGAGGTGGTTAGTACTAAGATGTTTCTTATCGAGGCGTTCTGTTGCTCCCCTCTGGCTCCCAGCCTGTACCTGATCCCTGTGCCTGGTACCTCCCTATGTTCTCCATGATCAACCTGGTTTATACAACTACACAATTATCAGTCACGCCTCTTTCCTGCCTGTAGCTTCACTGAGCCAAAGTCTTGCTCACTAGATTTCAGGCCTGCTGTTTATGTTACTGACCTTCAGCTTACTACACCTGCACAGGACAAATCGCCACCCCACTCCAAAGATGTGGCCAAACCAAGAGGTATGGACAAAGGTCATCCCTCTACCTTGTCTGACAAGGCAAAGGCAAAAACCCAGGTTTCTCTGGACAAATAGCTGCCTCCGGCACTGAGCTCATGTAGAGTGAGCGTGGGCGACAAGCCCAGCACCTCAGGCACGGCACCACCTAAGCACTCGGTGCCACCCAAGAGAGCTCATTCCCAGCCCAAGCAGAAGTCATTGGAACTGCCTTCCACCGCACGGACTAAACATAACAAGTCTGTGCACAAGACGGCACGGGAGATGGCACTGGATACAGCACCGAAGAGACCCTGTACTGAGATGCCTCCACCTCGGGCACCAACTCTGATGCCATCCTCGGCACCACCCATGACACACCCTGGCTCAGCACTGTCACACAAGTGCCCGTTAGCGACAGCTTGTGCTTCCTCAGCACCGCCTTCACCAGCTTCGTCGGTGCACTCCATACACTCACCTAGGTCACCAGCTCTATTGCTTTCTCTTAGGGTATGTCTACACTGCCACCGTAGTTCGAACTAGGGTGGCTAATGTAGGCATTCGAACTTGCAAATGAAGCCCGGGATTTAAATATCCCGGGCTTCATTTGCATCTTGCCGGGCGCCGCCATTTTTAAATCCCCGTTAGTGCGGACTCCCTGCCCACGGCTACACGCGGCACCGACTAGGTAGTTCGAATTAGGCTCTCTAATTCGAACTATCATTACTCCTCGTGGAACTCCATAAGGTCATCACATCCTCTTTCGCCACCTCACTGGTACCCTCACCATTGCCCGTACCCACCACCTCCTTACCCGGGCCAATGGCATCCTTGGGACACTTGTTCCTCCCACAGGAGCCACTGCACTGCTCCTTCCACACTGGACAAGAAACCTCACTCTCCTCAGCCTACACCCAGGGACACAGCACTGAACTTCCCGGAACACCCATAGTCACCAGAGGAGGACTCCCTCTTCAAAGGAGAGGAGAGATTCCCCACTCCACAATTCCTTTTCATTGCCTGATGAGGCCATCATTCCCACCACTCCACCCCCAACATAACATTAAACAGTTTCAGGAACTGTTTAAGAGGGTGGCTCTGGCACAAGAACATGATCTGCAGGAGGTGCAAGAGAAGCAGTACAGACTCTTGTGTACCCTGCAGTCTCCTACCTCATCCAGGATTGCACTCCCGATGGACGAAGCCATCATGGATCCTCCCAATAATATCTGGCAGACTCCAGCATTGGTCATGCCCACCAACAAAAGGGCTGACTGCAAATATTTTGTCCCTGCCAAAGGGCTGGAGTTTTTGTTTTCACACCCACTGCCTAATTCCCTGGTAGTCGACTTGGTCCATCACAAAGCGAAACAACCTAACATGAGATCAACTCCCCAGGATAACGACCATAGGTGCCTGGACATCCTGGGCAGAAAGGTATATTCATCAGCAACACTACAGCTGAGGGTGGCTAACTGCTCTGCCATGCTTGCTGACTGTGACTATACCAACTATTCCAAGTTGCAAGAGCTTTCCCAGTTCCTTCCAGAGCATAAAAGACCACAGCTCCATAGTATTATTCAGGAGGGACAACTATTGCCACTCTACAGTCTGCAATGGATCTGGCTGACACCGCAGCTCATACCACCGCAACAGCCATTGTCCTGTGCAGAGCCTCCTGTCTCCAAGCATCGAGCATACTGAAAGAGCTGCAACAAAAGGTGGAGGACCTCCCCTTTGATAAGACCAGTTTATTTTCAGCCAAGACTGATTAAGTCCTATGTTCTATGAAGGACTCCTGGACCACATTATGGACTTGGCATGTATACATTGCCCAATAAGAGGCTCAAATACAACTATACATCAACTTGCTAGAGCTCAGAGCAGTCTGTTATGCATGCCGCCATTTCCTACTGTATATAGCACACAGGACAGTCAACATCATGATGAACAATACCATGTGCATGCATTACATCAACTGGCAGGGGGAGCCCGGTCCAACTCCCTGGCTAAGTCTAGACTGGCATGATTTTCCGCAAATGCTTTTAACGGAAAAGTTTTCCGTTAAAAGCATTTGCGGAAAAGAGCGTCTAGTTTGGCAGGACGCTTTTCCGCAAAAGCACTTTTTGTGGAAAAGCATCCGTGGCCATTCTAGATGAGCTTTTCCGCAAAAAAGCCCTGATCGCCATTTTCGCGATCGGGGCTTTTTTGCAGAAAACAAATCTCTGCTGTCTACACTGGCCCTTTTGCACAAAAGTTTTCGGAAAAAGACTTTTGCTCGAACGGGAGCAGCATAGTATTTCCGCAAAAACACTGGTGCTTTTGTGGAAATTCAAGCGGCCAGTGTAGACAGCTGGCAAGTTTTTCCGCAAAAGCAGCTGAAAAAGCTTGTGGAAAAACTTGCCAGTCTAGATGCAGCCCCTTTGTATAGAAACAATGAAACTGTGGAATAGGTGCATCACACACCACCTCACTCCCATAGCCTCATACCTGCCAGGGGTACTCAACGTGACAGGGGACAACCTCAGCCGCAATTGCTCCAATCACCATGAGTGGGAACTAGACTCTCAAGCCCTGCAAGAGGTATTTCACAAATGGGGACAACCGGACATAAACCTACCTGCAACCAGAGTCAATCGAAGTGTTCCAGAGCAGCACTCGGCAAGGGTATGCTAGGAGATGCCTTTCTTCTGAAACACCTATTCTATACGCGTTCCCACCACTCCCTTTCATCCACCGAGTAATAACGAAAATCAGAGTGGATCAAGCACAGGTAATTCTCATAGCACCAGCATGGCCGAGACAAACCTGGTTTCCATACCTGCACAGGCTATTGGCACCAGACCCCCATGCCTTTCTTCCACAACACAACCTCCTCACTCTCCATCTTGATCCAGAGAGACTCCATCTGAAGGCATGGCTCCTTCATGACTCCAGGATGCTGAAATTACCTGGTCAGAGTACAACAAATACCAATCAATAGTAGGAGAAAATCCACCAGGAAAACTTACCTGTCCAAGTAGAGGAGGTTCTCTGAATGGGTGAATCGGAATCACCATACACCACCCAACACCTCTCCCATCCCCATGATTCTAGACTGCCTCTTGGAATTAAGGGAAGCAAGGCTCTCCTTCAACACAGTAAAGGTTCATGCGGCAGTGATAGCAGCCTTCCACAGAGCCAGGGAGGACGGTTCAATCTCTTCGCATCCGGTCACCAAACGTTTTCTCACTGGTCTCCCATTGGTATGATCACCAAGCTCTTGAGGACATGGTTTAATTAAACCTCCCTTCAAACCACTACCCACCTGTTCCTGATCACAACTCTCCATGCAGGTTGCCTTTTTAGTAGCCATAACTTCTAGCAGGAGAATTGGTGAGCTAGCAGCACTAATGGCTGACCCACTAGTCACGATATTCACCAAGGACAGAGTAACCCTTCGCCCTCATCCCAAATTTCTCCTAAAGGTGTCATCCCCTTTCCACATCAATGAACCCATACGCTTACCTGCATTCTGTCCTGCTGATCCATCCCATGCAGCACTGCATACCTTGGACATTCAGAGGGCACTTGCCTTCTACCTAAACCAA